CAAATTCTCTTGCTGATGATATGCTGTGATGTGTGTGAATTGTGAATGTGTGTGTGTGTGTGTACGTGTGTGCACGTGTGTGTTTGTTTGTTTGAAATCTTAAGATACGCTTATATCTGTATTACAATTGTTGTTTTATTAGGAACTTTTTCTTTTATCATAATAATTAAAATATTTATTATATAGTCCTTGATGAGATGATTGTGAGTAGAAATATCATAATAGTCATCTTCCTTTTAATCATTCATCTTCTTCTTAATCATCATCGTAATCATTATCATCATCGTCAGCAGAGAGAGAGAGAGAGAGAGAGAGAGAGAGAGAGAGAGAGGGGGGAGAGAGAGAGAGAGAGAGATAATTATTTATCGAATTCATCATCAAACAAAATCAACTGAAATATTCATCCTAGCAACATTTTCTACAATAATCACCATTCCTCTTATTAATCACCATCACACTCATTTTCATCGTCATCGTCACCGTCATCGTAATTAATCATATAAATATATAAGTATGAGTGAGATGAATATTATAATAAATATAAATAATAAAATATTTATTTATATATATAATTATAAATTTCAATTCGGAAAATTGTCGTAAAAGCCCTTAGCTTGGAGCCTTCTATTCATAGCAGTAGCACAATAATTAAAAATAATAACATTAAACACAACAACAATAATCACAACGACAATAACAAGAAAATAATAATAAATGTTATAGCAGCAGTAGAACAATTAAGAAGATTTAATTAATATGTATGTTCGTATGTATGTACTGTACATAAGTATGTTTGTATGTATGTATGAAGGTGTACGCTGGTATGTACGTATGTATGTATGTTTGTATGTACGTATGTATGTATGACCCTTCGTTGATTAACTAGCCATTGATGGGGCTATAATCATTGTCAGGTTCTGTTAAACTCTATGTTATTGGGTCATGCACAGAAAGGTTATTTAAAGCCCCATCAAGTATACCAAATGAATTAATTTTTGGAGCAGAGCCGATGTAGTCTTTAATGTAGTTTTTATCTTAGGGGTTTCCTGATATTTATTAACAAGTTCTTTTAAATACAGATAGGTATTGTTGTCGGTTGGTCCAAAGGTCTCGATACATATTAGTTGAAATATTTTAAAATCATTAAGAGGGACATACTTGAACATTTTTAGTCGAATGCTTCTAAGCCGCGGTATCTGCCTCAAACGATGTGAAAGAGATGTATCTTTCGGCAATCGTGTGGGGGAACGTCACATCTCAGGCCAGCCAGCAAACGTCCCATTGCCCATGGAGAAATTGTGTGACTATCAGATCTAAAGAAAGTTTCCATCCGCAAACTGGCCTACCGGTTCCTTTATTACTGGTATGGCAGCGTTTTGGAAGCAGCGAACCATTCATCGCTGAATGCCTTGCCTGGCGTCCA